CCCTCTATTTTGTAGGTGGTGAAAGGAGATTGTCAAGAGCTGCGTGATATCAAGAGTAAGCACTTCATGGTAATCTTTTCTCTGGTCCTATTCACTGTTTCCCTTTTGGTATAAATGAAGGTGAGTGAAAAGGGACACAGCTCTATGAAGCCTTGATATGGGGTCAATGAGCAGATGTCACTCTCAAGTAACAGCAGCTGTTCTCCAAATATTAAGCAGATTAATCCCTCAACAATAGATTTCGGTGGCAGAAAACTTATATTTGAAATAATAATTAGCAAAAAAGAAACCCCTGTGCCCTAAGATACCCTCCCTCCACAGAATCTCATTTCATGCGCATGTACTTCAACAAAGGACTTTTTGCCTTTGTCAAACACATTCCATTCATGATTTCATTAATATCATGAGTCATAATTGATACAGAAAGCACTGCATCATGGAAGGGTGAACCAAAAAGCAAAGAAATGTTAATTTGAAATAAGTGGTTTCCAAATTATTTTGATCTCTTGGCCTTCTCTGATTTATTTTTTAAATGATCCAATTCTTATCTTGTTTATCACTGATTGTCAATGGCCATTTAACTCCCAAGAGGAACAAATAAATGAGAAGACTTTAGGTTAAAAAGAAAGTATAACAAGGGGAAGAGACTTCACCAGGATGACAGATAATCTAATAAATCATGAACTAAGAAAAATCATGATGACAGCACCTACCCAACTCAACTTGGTGCCTTTTTCTTTCTCTGTCCTAATTATTTCTCATTGGGCATACCTAAATTTTGCCCAAGCTTTGTCTACCCATTCCTGCCATCTGACACAACATTGCATGTCCTCAAATTAGTCATGGCCACTTACCCTTCATTCTCTCCCACTCTCCAATCAAAACTCAAATTCTGTCACAGCAGCTGACCTTAGCCTGCTATGAGAAGGATTACAACAAGACTGGCTGATTTAAACTAATTAGTCAACAATTTAAGGTACTTCCAATGAAGCATGAGTTTAAGAAGATACCTATTTTCCTAAACAGTTATTAAAGAGTAGGGATTTCAAGAAGACAGGAAGAGAAGAGGGGAAAGTTCAAATCATGTGTAATACTTGTGCATTGTACATCCACAATGGCCCACTTAGCACCTGCAGCAGACAAATTGAGTAAAGACCGGATCTCCAACCTGCTGGAATCTCTGCTGCCTGCACAAATCTTTCCAGTGTAAAGCTCAAAATCCATCTGCCATTACTGCTGTGGACTATTCTAAGATGGGTGCTCACCTCAGAGTCAGACTCCCGGGTATTCTTGGAAGAGCATTTTCACTTCCTTCAAATAAGCTAACTTGGGAATAAAAATGAATTATTCCAGTGACAGTGTTGAAGCCACACAGAACACTTCAAGAATTTCTAAAAGTTGCTCATTTATAAGACACAAATTTTCTCTTCTGTCTCTGTCTGGATCTTGTTTGATTCTCTCTCTTGCTGTTTTCCTCTCTCTCTTTCTCCCTCATACACACAACACACAACACATACACACACATATATTCATTCATACTTTGTTGTTAAAACAACTTTATTAGCCTGACCACCATTACAGGTACCACTAGAGTTCTTTCCACAGTTAACACACATACTCAAAGAATGAAGCTTCACTCCCCTCCCATATAGTCTGGTGTATGTGTGTAGGCAGATTCCTGTCCTTTTTTCCTTCTCCCTGGAATTTATCGCCCTGCCATGGTCTGGATGTGTCACCCATACCCTATGCAATAGTGTTGAGAGTCAGGGTCTTTCTAAAGGCAGATTAACAGCATTATAAGCTGTCTTTCAGCACCAGGCACAAGGGTGCATGCCTGTATTGCCAGCTACTCATGAGGCAGAGGCAGGAAGATTGCAAGTTCAAAGCCAGCCTCAAACTTAGAGAGACCCTGTCTCAGAATAAAACAGAAAGTGCTGAAGATGTAGCTAAGTGGTAGAGCACCCCTGGGTTCAATTCCCAGTACTTCCAAAGGTACGGGGCGGAGGAGGGTGCTTACAGGAGTAGGTTCACTTTTTTGTTCTTCTGCTTCATGTGAAAACATAGCAATCTCTCCTCTAGAGGATAGTGTTCAAGTTATCCTCATGGAAGCAGCAAGACCAAGTTCTAACCTGCTGCCATCTTGATCTTGAACTTCCCCATCTCCCAAATGGAGAAATAAATTTCTATTATTTACAAATTATCAAATCATAGGTATTCTTTTAAAGCAGCTCTAAATAAACAAAGCCACAAGCTTGCATCTCCTCTGAATACTGCCATCATTTCTTTTGTTTTCCCAGCAAGTTCTCTTCTTGTAGGCAAATGGCAAGGTGGAGTGAAATCTTTTGCTTCCTGCCCGAACTTTTTCACTTTTGCTGATAACCCCTAAGCTCTTTTCCTTTCAAGTAATTTTCTTTAGTACAAGAAAACAAAGAACCATTCAACAAACAAAACCACCTTTTACAGATAGTAACAGTCTTTTAAAAGTACCTTAATAGATAACCATGGCTTTATTTCCCTGATATATCTACATATATGTCCAAAATAAGAGACTAATTTTTTATTCAATCCTTGCACTCTACTTGGGTTATTTTATTTTCAATTGTGATAAGGAGTATACAGAAAGAGATGATCCACAAAGAAATACAACATGGTTTCACACAACTAGACCAATGAAGGAGCCCCATGCTTGAGAGGGTCATGCATAGGTCAGGTTCACCATAGAATTGTGTGAATTTTTTATATTGTAGCGTCCCTTTGTCTTTTCTTTTGAAAAGATCAGGCAGATTATATAATTTTCTAACCCCAGCTTTGCAGGAAAATCTACTGGAATTTCCCAGGATGTTTAGGGAATCATAGCTTCACTGGAGTAGGTACATAGCACCCCAAGATGGTTCTACATATTGCGATGAAAAATTTCTACTATTTTTGCTTTTTATAAACAAAGTGATATACCACAAAACCTAATATGTATGCTTAAACAGAGTACACACACTAATGAATACAAACAAATGTATACTTGAACCCTAAAGTATGTTTTAGAAGAATTCATTTTTTTCAAAACACTTAAGAAAGGACAAAGTTATAATGTCATAATACAATATACCAGAGTATCCTAGCTCCTCCTAGAAGTTCTTAGTATTCACACATCCATTTTATAAAAACATCAGCAATTCCAAGCAAACTGTCAGAAAATAAGAAAACCTCTTTCTTAAAAGTGAATGGGGAGAATTGGATAAAAAGTAGCACAGTAGTTGACTCAAAAAGATGCTCATGGCCATGCCAAATCATATTTTTTCTGAGTAAGTCACACTGAACAAAAAAAGAAGATAAATCACTATGAAAATGCAAGTGAGCTGGTGATAATATCCTAGTTATAGCTGCCATGAAATAGTCATTAAGTTATATGCAGCATAAATCTCCAAGAGTTCTGTAAATTATGGTGGTTCTTAGAGACCAAATAAAGATAAACTATAGAACTATGGCTTCCTTTCTCTTTGCTCCTTGGTGTGGCTTTTAAAAATGTTTATGCTCAGGCTTGTTATACTATATAGCTCTTAAATTATCTCAGAATTTAAAATTTGCAACTCAAATCTTTAAGACTCCTTTTCTACATTTTGAAGGCCATCACTTCTAAACAATCCCTTCTTGCATTTGGAAGTAGACTCTTGCTCTGCTCAGGCTCCTACTGGGCCAGACAAGCTTCCAGCTCTAGTCTCAAACTTGAGTTGTTCCCACTTCCAAGGCTTGTTGAAGGAGCAAGTGCTAGAGATGAACACTTCCAACTCTGGAGCCCAGCAATGAAATCTTAAGTCCTGCTTCTATCCCTAGAACTGAATATCAGCAAACTCTGATTCAAGAATCTCCAGTCAGTGTTCCTTTTTTTTTCTTACAGATTGGTACTAATCCCCAGTTGATCTTTTTTCTTAACTGCTGTTTTCCCCCTGATATTTAAACTGAATTCTTATTGCTCCAAATTAAATCCATTCTTTCTAGCCTTGTCATTGCTAACTAATGAGAACAATTCCTCTCCTTGCTGTTGGTGGCTGCACTTGGGGTGCTTATAGATGAGAATCATATCTTTAGCCTACTTTCTTAGCTGCAGACTGCACAGGTGATAAAATGGGTTAATTGTTGCTATAAAAATATTTCCTATCCTCATAACAAAGCAGTTTTTTTCCTTCAAATCATTTTAGTTTCTTAGATTTGCAGTATTTTCTTAAGATCTGTAGGGACTGAAAGTATAGTCCTATTGAGTTCATACATACAAGACGTAAAGCAAAATGTCAGATATGCAATATGCATGAATAACACTAATCTTGGTCCTTGTGCTATTTCCTTTGAAACACAGCCCCACCCACTCTGGAGCTCTGACATCAGTTTTTATCACACATTCTTTATATCTACCTCTACAGTGATATTTGCGTCTTAGGACAAGGGTCACCAACTACAGTTGTGGCTAATTTTGGTAAATGAATTTTCACTGAAATTCCGTCTTGTGCACTAAAAAGATGTATTATCTATGGCAAAACTGAGTCACTCTGATAGTGACTATATAACCAGCCTGTGAGTCCCTCCTTGGCCCTTTATAGGTTTGCCAAACCCCAGCCCAGGAAATCATAAACATTCCAGTTAGCTTTGCTATTTGTACCAAGTAAGTTGAACCACACCTTGTAAAGCTATTGTCTGCACCCAAGTGATCTGTTAGATGTTTATCTGCAGGCCAAACCACAAGGTTGGGAAAGGGAGTTTGAAAGAGAATAATAGGTTTTTGTTTTTGTTTTTTTTCTATATATATATTCCTGGAACAGAGGGGAGAGTTTTTAATTTTTTTATCACAGAAGCATGTATGAGTGTGATGGTTCACATAATGGAAGGCAATTCCTATGAAGCATGTGCACCTTTGTTGTGTCCGTGTGTGGAGTGTTCCGCTGCATTTATCTGACTCACCAACTCAGACCACCAGGGAGACAAGAGAATGCAGGCCAAGGCCGGGTACTCACTATGTGAAGCTGCAGGAAGTCTCCAAGACCTGGAGCGCTGTCGATGCGTACTAAGATGCCATCCTTCACCGTGGTGCTGAAGCCCACTGCCAGGCGGTCAGAGCGCGTGCTGGGCCTGTCATTGGCCGGCCAGGTGTAGAGGATGAGGCCACCACTTTTCCCAAAGATGTAGGTAGCACCAGCTGTGAAGGCAAGGAGAGAGCGAGATGTCAGGGCACTGTACTGTGCATTGCCAACTCTAGCACACTGCTGAGGCTTCACAGAACAGCTGCAGAGAGGAAACGTCCCCCACAGGACAGGATTTGGTTACTGAGAGGGATGACTTCCAAAGCCTCAGAAGGCATCTGTCACCTCAAATTAAAGTTGCCAGTAAAAGGAAGTAAAAGAAATGAATAACAAAGCAGATGTTAGTGAGAGACATTCCTAACATCCGTAGTTCTTGCTGCGTATTAGTGGAGGGCAAATTATGTGCTGTGTCGAAGAGCTTTGGTACATTGTGACAAACAACTTCTCTGTCCTTCCCAACAGCAGAATTAATTTTCCATCCTGGCTAGGACAGGCATGAGATAAAGAACTTGTCCCCCATCTCTTGGCTATCAAAAGGTTCTGATCAGTGGAGCAGGGAACTGTTCCAGAGATGCCTCACCAAAATCAGTGTAATGAGGAAGCCAAAAGGCACCATTTCTCTCATGCCCATGCCTTCTCCACCCACAGAAGACACAGTTATGCCCTGAGAAAACCAAGTAATATGGGGCAGTATCCCTTAATGGAATACTTGGGGCCAGAGTGATTCTGAAATAAATTTTTTTTTTAAATTTTGGCATATTTGCATATACATAATAAAATATATTGGAGATAGGACTCAAGTCTAAATATAAAATTTAGTTGTTTTATAGACAAATTATACACATATCTTGAAGGTAATTTACAGTTGGATTAGAGCCTATCACATGAGATCAGGTAGAATCTTCCACTTGCGACACCCTGTCAATGTTCAAAAAGTTTTAGGTATAAAGCATTTCAGATTTTGGATTTTTGTGTTAGGAATGTTCAACTTGTAAGACTGAAAGCTTTTGCCTATTTCCCTATTATGTTGCCATAAGCATGGTGACTAAAATTATTTCCAAGCTCTTTAAAAATGAATGTTTTTCTCCTCTAGTGGTAGAATTTATCTGGTATTAGAACAACAGTTTCAAATTCCTTTTCCAAACTACATGAGACATAGCAAAATAATCCCCAGAAAATGAACTTTTAACATGAGAAGTGGTATCATCAGTTACAACTAGTGGGTTTATCAGTGTTTTTTTATTATTTACTCATGAATTTCCTTTTCTCAGTGTGAAACCAGAGGCTACCAAGAATATATGAATATGAAATTATCTATAAAACAAATAGAAAGAAAAACAAAGAAAAATATGTATTTAAAAATATAAAAAGCCTATTTCAAGAAGCAAGTTTAAATTCTGATTCTGGGAAAATATATTTCAATTTAGTAGACAAAATAGACTACCCCATAATAACCTTCATGGTTTCCTGCCTGTTACCCACAGTGAGTATTTCCATATGTTACTCAGCTCAAAGTCCAAAGAACATTTGGCACTAGATTTTCTTGTGAATATCCCAGCAAACATGTTCCAACCTTTAAGACTATTTTTAAAACAACATTAGACAACCATTCAGATATCTTTAGCAGTTACTAAAAATCTCAAGCACTGGTCCACATTTATTATCAGGGCTAGTTTACAGAAAATATTGGGTGGAATTACGCTAGCTGAAGAAGAGATGAGTTATGCAGCTTGCTAAGAAATAATATACTCCTTTGAGCTAGAATTAGGAGTATATGTCATATGTCATCTTTGTAAAGAAGAAAGCCACATTAAATTCTGATGTATATATAGAATGTCATTTGTCCCCCTTGAAAGGTCACTATTCAAATCATTCCAATTTGGTGAGTTTATACATTACATGTAGCATGACATTATTTTCCTTTTATGAATTTCTCAATCTTTAGGGAATGGTCTCTGGAAAGCCTCCCACAGTCATATGGAGAATTTGGGACTGTAGTAAGCAAAGTTTATGATGAAGTCTATATGCAAAACAATGTTGGCTCCTTATCATCCACAAACACAATCAAATCTTCTTAAAATTAGAAATGTGGGTATAATGATTTACCCTTGATATCTCTCCATCTGTGAAGAATTTAAATAAGTCCCTTTCTGTAGATTATTACAAATGTCATCATTGCTCCCTTCATTCTTTATTTGGAAAACTGAAGGTTACTCAGTGATTAATGTATAAAATCACCAAAAAATGCAAATCAGCTTGTGACATTTCATGATAATTTATAAAATCTTACCCTATTCTATCCTAAATACATAGTGAATTGTGCCACATAGTGGATTTTGCCACAGAGGTGTATTTTGTTACTACAAATAAACAAAGTAAAAAACTCATTGCAAAAAAGAATAATAATATAAATAGAACTTTACAATTTGCAAAGATTATACAAGTTTGTTAGATGAAATTTCCCTACAATTGTATGGGACATTTCCTTGGTTAACAGTTTTATAGAACAGAGGCTCAGATATTTCATTTAAGTCAGTGGTACCTTCTTTAAGTCCCCAGCCTGAGCCACCCGTCTACAAGTCTTTTTTCACTACCTGCCAATGTAACTTTTTTTTGCACAATAAACTGGACCAATGGGGCAAAGCTATCCAAATTTAGCTCTTTTCACTTTTTCTTCCAATACCAAATCAGATTGAACACAAAGCCATCACCCGAAATCTGCATATTAAAATAAAAATTATATATATATACATACATATATATACACATACATACATATATATACATATATACATATATATATCTATAACATGTTATATATGTTAGATAATTCTAACTCTATAGGTGAAAAGGGAATAAAAGATAAAAAGCGCTTAGTATAAGGCTTATTCTAGTATGCAGAAAGCAGTATTAAAACATCTGTTCTCGGTACTGAGCTTTCTATTCAGGGTGAATAAAGACCCTGAGTGTTTCCATAGCCTAAACTTCCTTTAGAGGAAGTTAACTAGTAGTTGCAATTTTCTACTCTGATAATGTGATTGTTTTTCTCCTTATTTTTTATGTTTTTCTATCTTTCATGGTTTTTAGAAATAAACACACACTTTCTGTTAATTCATATAAAATGCCTAGAGTCCCAAAAGGAACATAATAAAGTTGTTTCACTTTTATTTTCAAATTTTAAAAAGTTGTTACTTTAAAGTATGGATTACAAATAAATTTGGGGGAAACATCTCAGGAACTATAAGAACCCTCCTTATATCCATTAAGAGTTTTTATTTCCAAGTCATGTAATACCACATCACATAACTTCTCCTGTGAGCCAAGAAATACTGATTCCTGGTTTCTCAACTGAGTTCAGAATGTCAGTGCTAAGATCATACTACATTAATAATGAGGACCATGCAACTATCTTTCCTGATAGCAAAAATGATCAATTTATCTGAAGAAAAACTGTAGATAGCAATAAGCTGATGAAGCAGATAATATGTGACTTCTTTAAGAGAATAAGCATACATTTTCTTCGAGGTCACATATTTTCCCAAGATTCTTAAAACTTTGGTGTATTTTATAGCTTATCTTAATGGAATTTAATTTCTGAGGGTAAATAACCTTTTTCCTTGTTTAGGAACATTTGGATTGTTATTATTGTTTTTTGTTTGATTTCTAAACTCCAGTTCCCTGCTTTTATGACATTGTTCCTATTTCCAGTCTCATATCCAAACAACAGATCACATTTTTTTGGAAATTATTCACAGAAATAGGATTATGGTCTTGTCTAAGATTCACTCTAAATATAAAAATAATATATAGATGTATATGTGTGCACGCATGTACATATGTACATGTGTGTACCTATGCATGTGTGTAAGTATGAAAAATAAGAAAAATTTAATCAGAAAATAAAATTGACTACTTGTAACTTTTTTATTATTTTGCTTATTATATAATTAGAAGTTAAATAGCTTCAGGAAAATACTCAAAGATATATACATATGTGTTTGTGTATATATATCTACATATAAAAATATATATGTGTATGTGTATATATATATATATATATATATATATATATATATATGAAATATATATGTGTATATTTTAATGTGACAAAGTTCCCTACAATGATTTTCTATTGGTGTTAAAATAAGTTTTGGAAGCTCAAGACACCTAAATTTAAACTGAACTAGATAAATTACTTTCATATAAGTATATCACATTGAAAATAATAAATAAAATGTGAGTGTGATACTTCAAGTGCAAACCCATATGATACATTAAGTAGGATGAGAAACAGGACATCAGGCTGAGGCTCTTGAAGATGGCCTGAGAATACAGTCTAAAATCTCATGATAGTAACGTGTAGGTGGCTTCCTCTGTTGTTTTAGGTTCCCTCTTTCTGAGTACTCCTTCATCAAGCTTCTCCACAATTGTGTTCTTTATTATAAATTGTCAAGTCCTTTTGGAAAATAGATAGACCATCAATGACATAAAATATACTCTGCCGGTAGATATAGTTATTGCTATAAAATTAAAACTATCTTTTATTCATATCAATTACCATATAGCTAATAAAACCAAAATGGAAAGACTTGTGGCTTTGAAACTGACGAATACCTCTTCTAGCTTATGGAGGCATAAAGCTCCAGAATCTCATAATGACTGATGGTCCGAAGAATATAGTTTCTTGATTTATATTAGTTGGTTTGTTCTATGGTTTCCTTCTACCTCTGTCTCCCTAGCTATTTGGGCTGCATCTTGTGCATTTTCTCCTGACAGTGGGAACTAGCATTTCCATAGCATTGATTGGTTTTCAAATTGCCTTCTTTGGTAGTATCTCATTTGATGCCTCTTTCTTCAATACTCACTGAAGGTTTAGTGGCAAATATTTTTGTTATTATTTTAACAAGAAAATGGAGGCTCAAAGAAATTCAGCTGCTCGATGCAGTTCTCGGTGGTGGAGCAGAGAATAGAATCAGATTTCCCTGTCTTAACTCTGAACTTCTCTCCCCAGGACAGGGTGTCCTGCTGACCCATGGGGTGAAACTCCCTAACAGAATCCCTAGCTCTCCTCCCCAGAGCCCTGCAAGGAGGAGAGAAGGGTGAATGACAGATAGAA